CCGAACAGAGAAAAAGGCGGATGAGGATGACGATGGCGACGACGATGCAATGATGGTGATGGTCATGGTGATGGTGATGATGATGGTGATGATGATGGTCATGGTGATGGTCATGGTGGTGATGATTATTATGAGGGTGATGATGATGGTGATGGTGAGCGTGATAGTGATGGTGATGGTAATCATGTTAACGACAATGATGATAACAATGGTCCTAACGAAGATGGAAATGAAGAAGATGAAGATAAAGATGCAGATGACGGTGAAAATGAAAAACCCGTACCTGCCCTCAAACCAAGGGTAAGGGGGATTGAACCCGGCGGGGGAGGGGGGTATAACATTGAAAGCTTCAAGGAATTCAACGGTCCTGGTGCCTGCCTGTTCCTTTCTGAAGTAAAGGAACTTCAGCCAGCACAAGCTAGCTTTCATGATTTTGCTTCATTTGGATTGCATCCTCTCATGCCCGGACTTGGTCAGAGAATTAAGGTGGTGAGCCATGCCCATGACCCTAATCTTGGCTGATCCACTGGCCTCCAACTCCACAACTCCTCCAACCTCAACTGCCACGCCTCGCAACATGGGAGATGGGTCGCCGAACTTCGGACGAAAACCATCAAGGCAAACATGAATTAATTAATGGACAAGAAAGCCATAGAATGCGGGATGTAATGACGGGTGCTGCCATTTGTTGCAATGGTACGAGATATAATGCTGCTTTTTTGGGCCAGCTGCAGGGAAAGTTTCAGGCAACAACAGCCCCAGAATCCGTGTGTCTAGAAAAGCTTTGCGAATGACCAAATCTATGCGTAGCTAAAATGAACTACTCCTCATGCTCCTACTTGCACATCTGAACAAGCACCATTCACCGAAAATCTTGGCTTTGGACCTCTTGGCAAAGGTGCAACTTGCCTACTTTTTCTAGCATCTTTTCATGCATCCCCTGGCTGCCCCCCAGGGCCACACCAGCCCACCTAGCGGCAGAGAGCTACATCCGACGGCAAAACGACTGTGGGCTCCCACCTTCCGCGGGTTCCATCGTTTGAAATGGACTTCTCAGCGTGGAATTGCCCAGACACGGCCCAAAGTGCTCTAGATTTGTCCATGGCCCGTCTTGGATTCCCCAGCCAGATCAAGAAAGCCCTTGGCTAGGACACAGCAACTGAGAGCGTGGGTGTTCCATGACATCAGGACAGGCGGTGTGGAACCATAGCATATATTCTGGTTGAATTATAATGATTCAATCGCCTGACAATGGTTTTTGATAAAAATTCCTTTTTCCGGGAACGGCCATTCTTCGCGAACAAAACTGTTACTCTCGCGAAACTTTCGCGAACTCCATGTTTATCTTTCGCGGAGCCCATGTTGGGCAAAGATGCCTCTTATGAAGATTCATTCATCACCTGCTAAATTACGCCAAACTGTCACGGATCACTTCTTGATAGCCTTATAAACATGCAGATAGCATCAGGGAATCCCTTTTGAGGGTAGATGGTTGCTGATTAGGCCCTCAGGCATATGATTTTGCAAGACTTACTGGGCCAACCCCGTCAAAATGGACTTTGACTTTCGCCCGCTCCTCCGCAAAACTTTCGCGGAACTTTCACAAAAATACCCCTATCGACAGACCCCAGCCATCAGCAGGGGGGCGCAGCAGAGGAAAAGCAAACACCAAGGGCGTTGGTGTTTGGCTCTGGCAAAGCCTCACTTTTGGAAGCTTGACTGCTGCATGTGGAGTTTGTTTCTTGAGACTTCAGAAAGCAATATTAGGCAGCGCCAGCAAGGATGTGCTTGTGGCAAAGCCTCACCTTTGGAAGCTCGGCCGCCACCTATGAAGGGAAAGGTAAATGTCCGGAGTACAGCACCACACTGCGAACTGAACCGGGACCAAACCGAAATTCTCCGGTACCCTCCTCCTGCCGGAGCCCAGGGCGGCAGGGAGTGGTAGCCCTTTACGAGTTGTAGATGTATAAACTTTCGCGAAACTTTCGTGAATACTTTCGCGAACTCGGAAAAAACTTTCACGAGGGTTCCCAACATAACATGAACGGTCTTCGCAATTAAAACTCTTTACCAGGACCTTTAGATCGATCACCAAATAGAGCTTGAGTATTGTAAAAGAATGCACCGTACAAGAATTTGAGGGGCCAATGCAGGCAACATATCTTCAGCGATACCAGGCACATAGTACTTTAAGAGTTTGAAGGGCCCTGGGATAGGCGTGCCAACTTTTTAACTTGTTATACGTGAGAAGCTGCGGCCGAGGCAAGCATAGGAAAATCATCAAACCAAAACAGCGATGAAAGTTTCAGGCCTGTGTGTGTGTGTTTGCGAAACCCCCGTGGTGTGATGGTGAAAGACAGACGAAGGCAGACCAAGAAAAGCACGTACTGGCAGACCCCGGAGATTGCGCAATTAGCAGGGCACGCCGGGATTTGAAGTAATGATCGTCGGGTTTGAAGACCAACACGCTAACCACTGAACCACAGGGCCCTTGCCTCTGGAGAATTTTGCCTTCCTATTCTCTCTGGGCTGGCTGCCCAGGGCTGTTTTGGCCTGGGTTGTGGGGATTTCAGGGGTCAAGCCAAGCATTGCAAGAAACAATTTCTCGCGATCGGATTTATTTTTGCGCTGCCCTTGTGAGACTTAGAAATGAGATGTTGCAACTCCTCTTTCTCTGTCCCCGGACCAACCCATCAGACAAGCCCGGCTTTGCAAAAAAAAACTTTTCAGGCTTGCATGCCCCTTGTGGAATGAAATGGAATGAACCCTTTGTGAAATCAGATTGTTTTTGCACTGCGATCGTGGGATGAACTGAAAGGTTGCAATTCCCGTTTGTGGTTTCCTTTTCGTGGAAATCACCCCCTTGTGGGATGAAGCAGGATCTGAAAAAATGTGTTTTTCGCACATTGTTGCACTGCTTCCAGTCCACTTGACTTCCATATATAATGCACAAATAAGAATGTTCTACGAATCTGAAGGACCCTGGGCCTATTATGGTGGATTTTTCCCTGTATTTACAAATAAGAATTTCAGGGGCCCTGGGCAACTTTCGGATTCTTCACCAACTCTCAGGCTGTTGCCATACGGCCATGTGGGGAATATTCCCATCCTAACCATCATTCCAGTGGTCACGACGTGGGGTTGTCGGCCAGCCAGCCTCTTTCCCAAAGATTTCCACCAGCAAGTCCGAGCAGCCATTCACCACCTGGTCGAGCCAGGATAGAATATCGGAATGTCATGATAAACATATTATAAAATATTATAAATTATAAACCATAAGAGTCTATAACAACATCACTTTTCATATCACTTAATATCATGACAAACATCAAAATTTGGCACCGTGATATGTAGTGATGGTTGATCTCGATTTCGGGGCGCCTGTGGGTGATCCACGAAGTCCGGAGTGGAACTCACGAAGCCCTGCAGGTGGTCACCCGAATGGATGCTACAGGCTATACCTCGTCTTTCCGTGGTAGAAGAACCATGGTGCTAGCATCAATGGTTGATTTTTGCAAATTCGCATCATATGCAGGCTGGCAATGGCAAATTATTGAGGGAAAGTCCTGGCAAAAGAAGTGAAAGGACATTCAAATTCTGAAACAAAAGAGAGCCATACATTTTCCAACACATTTTCTCCGATGCTGTGCGCCTCCACCTTCACCACTCGCTTCACCTGTGCCAAGGGACATCAAGGGACCAACCCCGAGCATCGATGAAGAAACGGGATGAACCAGGTCAGAGTTAGGTAAGTTAGGTGTCCTCTCATCGCTAGCATCAAGCTGTATCAAGATGTATCAAGTAGGCAACCCACTTCGATACACAACTATTGAGTGTCTTTACTGGTTCATCTGCAAGAGTACGTAGTACAATTTTAGTGCTTCTACGGCAATGATGTCTTTGTGCTGAGCATACTCATTACATACTGAGACTGATGAATATATGTATCATGATGTATCTGCAAACGACGATACCTTTGGCAGCGTCTAGTGATTTGGAAGAATGACTGACAAAAGATCCCTCGCCGAAGTTTCTTGTTGCAATGATATGCAATGATCACCTAAAAACGAATCCAGGAGTTCTCGGGGTTAACACTTCAGGATTCCCAGAGTCCCAGCACCAGCTGCATGCTGCACATTCTATTTTTCTTACAGGAACAACGAGCAGCTCCTCGTAAGCATGCATCGTTGAGCATCAAATTGCAACTGCTGTATACTGCTGTATTGTAACTGTCAAGGAATGCAATCTTGGGATGATTGGGATGGGAAGAACGTCCACATGCTGTCTGCTCTAAGAAGCTTTTCAATCCTTCACAGATTTACTTTGCAGAGGGGGAAGCTGGAAACTTGGATGGGTCAAAGGGTGAATATAAAACCGCTGCCTGTGCTTCTTGTCTTCACTGTGGCATCACAAGTTAGATACAACCGTGCAATAAACGGCGACCTACTTGAAAAATGCTTGTCAATGTTCATCAGAGATCATAACCAAAAGGAATTTCACTCGTTTTGAAGAAACTCTTAGAAGCCAGTGATTGTTGACTTGCAAAACTAAAAGACAGCGGCGAGAGTCTACCACCGTTGGGCTCCGCACTGCTTTGCAGCTTGTGGAGCACTTGGACCATCCACTGCAGTGGGTTTCTGTTTGTATCTGTCCACCAGGAATAAGGACATCCTTGCGGTTTTATATGGTTTTATAAGCCATGAGCGGAAATTTCCGCTTAAAGATCCTGCTTTTTTGCCGCTTGAAGGCGCAAACGAAAAACCATATGGCGAAAGGATAGGATTGCTGTGATTGAAGCTACCTAGAGCTGGCTTTCGGAGGGAGCCATCCATGTAAAAGCAAGAAAAACACAAGATATGACATAGTCAAGGTGCAAACCAGCAAACGCATCGTTCGTGCTTGTTTGTTTCCTACAATTTAGGGATCTCAATGGCTGTATAATCTGCATAATGCAGTAAATATGGCCAAGTATGCCCTAGCACGGTGTCATTTACACAGGCGCCAAACTTGTGATCAGTCTAGGAACATCTCGGAACAGTGCAGTGGGTCGATGTGGGTCGCATGGTCCAATGGTCGTTAGCATCCGGTTACTTCCCGCGTCAGCAATCCATTGGAATCAGCGGCACATCGCGTCGTGGGCGAGACAGCAATGCTTCGATCTCTGCGAACGAGCGGCCCTTGGTCTCCGGCACAAGTGACGCGATGAAGGCAAGGCCAAGGAGGAGGAACCTCAGGAATTCAAGGTGAGAACCCAAGGTGGAACTAGGGATCTGAAATCAAGTGGCTGCAGGTCATAGTTGGCTAAACCCACATCTTCCCAGCTTCGGATGAACGCATCCGACAGGACGGTGAAGTGAAGTGGCACCTCTAAATCTTATGATCCATGATGGCAGCCATGGCAGCCATGATACGCGCCGTAGATGCCAAAGACCCCGCTGTAACCGACAAGCCCACGTAGCCCACTCACCTTGCCGGGCGCCCGTGGGGTGTGAGTCAACAGCAGAACCATAGCAGAACCAAGACCTCAAAGGAATGCACCAGTTGTATCCAGGTGTTGGATTCACAGTTCCAAACCTGCAGACATGGTTCATGAAATTCATGAAATCCTTTTTGCAGCTTTGTTCTTCGTGTGGTGACAGCTAGCATTGAATGATGTTCTCCCATCGCCGTTGCTGAAGACATCTCAATCTGTTTCGATGCCAGCCACCCCAACGCTAGAACATTGGCGTCTAAAGAACAACAGTATAGACATGTAAAGAATTGTAAAGACATGTCCGCGCTCTACAAGTCACCCCAAAGGGTTACCTTGGAAATCCTTGGAACCGGTGGGCACCGACCTGCTATCTGCTGCCCAGGAACGGTCTCCGTTGTAATAAACGAACAGGTCCAGTTGAAGCCCGCGGCCAGTGAGGAGGCCGAGGATCGGATCTTTCCAGGGAAGACTTCGCCCATCATCAGCCACGGTACGGGGCCAAGGCCCAAGGAAAAGAAGGCAATGTATCCAAAGGAACAGACCAGTGCTAACCTTGGGAGACCGGAGACCAAGATGACCAAGTGACATGTTTTGGTTTTGATGATTTTGATGTGTTGAAATGTGAACATTGAGAAACTGGAAGAATTGCAGATAATGTTAATTAGCCCAATTCCTCGCACATGTAGAGGGTTCAAAGCAGAATGCATGCCAGCATCCCATAAATTCCTGGGAATGTTTGTTTCATGCCGTTTTTGATTGTCCGTCCCAAAATCAGACGCAGCTGTTGCAGGTCTAGCGCAAGCACATATTCTTGCCGTAGTTTACACCTAGAAAACCGACGACTTCCGAAACATGGCTGGACATGGTGGTCAGATTTGAAGGTTTCCATTTCCTTAATAGATTTAACCAGTCTTTGCCCTCGAGACGCTCCAGATATCAACCCAGGACTTGCACTTGGGCAGTGTTTAAGATGTTTTCGCCGTATTCATACCTGGTCCATGCGGTCTAGACCACCAAGATCAACGAGATCACCAAAACAAAGGTGCAAACAACAGCAAACACATGAGCCAAAAAACGATAAAACCGTTGCAACAACACAGTAACTGCGTATCTGAAGTATGTCAAAACCAGCTTCTCACTAACGGAAAATGTTGAAAGCGGACCTTGGAAGTGGTCTTACAAACTGCAGCCCTCGAACACCCCAGTAGCTGGTTAGACCAAACAAAAGCATCCACTTCATCAGCCAAGGAACCAACCCTGATCTTGGAAGAACTGGAAGAAACATGCCTCAAACTTGCATCATTAGCTGTTCGAGGTTAATGCAAATGATCCTATCTGTTCAAAGACGTGTAGAACCTCTTTCTGCGTTGGGATGCGTTCGAAATATGAAACTCTAGAATCAGTCGGGTAGGCACGTGGTATGGAATAATGGAAAACCTCTTGTGCCAGTCAATTGCGCGACATGGGTTCATTCTACAAGCAAAAATAGGGAAGACAACGGATGGACTAAGAGGTTTTTTGTAAATGGGTTTGTCTGAAAATTGGGTACCCCCCATTCCTATTCTTTGTCATTTCCCTATGAAAACATGATCACTTTGAAGTCTTTGCCGTTTCGCACACCGTTGCATCAGCACATCTCTCAAAGCGGCCAGCCCAAGACAGCAGAGCAACATGCCACCTGCCGGGCGTGCGTCCGAGGCCGTCTTTGGCTATCCCAAGAAGTCATGGAACACCTGGAATCTTAGGATATCCATCTTTTAAACAAAAAGAACAACAAGAAGTGCAGTGCAACACATGTTTTGTCTGGGCAATGCCTTACAGCTGCCTCTTATTGTACCAAGTTGATGCCTCATTTTTGAGCTGGAAGGCACGGTGAAGTTGTATTGAACCCCTCTTAAATCCCTGGGCAAACAACCTTAGCATGCATAAAACTGCATTCCCCATTCGATCCACTGGTTCATCATCCTTCTCCTATTTTCAAGTGGCCATTTGGGTCCGTTTTGCTCCTCAAATGCTCCTCAAATGCCAGGCCACTGCAGGCTGTGAGAAGCAAAAATTTTCGCCCAGCCGTGTCCTTGGTGATGTAAAAAATCTACTGAAACAACCAGCCTTTCAGTACAGCTGGCTTCCTTTGTTTCAGGATTGTTGGTGTCTGCAGGCCTCCAGCTTCCAAATCCAATCAAACACGGTCAAGCATCCATCAGCGGAATGGAGACTGCCGTCATAACCACTTGAACCACCATGACCATAAATCCCAAACTGTCAGCGTCCTTCAAACCGGCAGACATAAAAATGGTATCCTCGGCTGGACGGGCAGCTGATGGCAAGCCAGCGCATGAAACATGAAAAAATAGGAACAAACATCTTGCCAATCCTGATCCCTGCAAATGAAATAAACGGGGAGTCGAAACATGGATGCACGAAATCATGGACTTTTGCAACATGGAGTTATGACAAAGGTACGGCAACACCTCTCAAATCCTGGAACCGGATATTTACAAACGGCAAAAACGACTGTGCGAAACCTAGCATCCTGGAAGAAGATTACCGCGTTCACGCCACTGAACCTGTGGTCAAGCGCAATTCCACAGCTTTTACGGCCTGGTTCGCATTTCCATTTCCCTTAAGACTCCTGGGTGAATCTATGAGTGCTATTTTCAAGATGGCATCAGGATGTGGTATGGTCATCCTTCCCAAAATGGTGGTCCCACCATCCCCCATGGATATATTATGGATATATCCAACTTTTCACCACGGTACATGTGGCTCACAGTCTTTTAATCGTGTTCCACAAAATATCAACCGGGCGGACACGATTAATTGTGCAGCTTTTTGATTTTGACTGTTGAAACTGCAGGATCGGTGTTTAATGTCGTGTCCACTTGTGCTTGCCTTGTGAATAAGTTGTGAACATTGGTTTATGCGAAGGAACTTGCACCCGTCTCTGCAGTTCATGATATGAGGACCTTTGGATTCATCCCCACATGTTTGTCATGTCCAGGATCAGCCAAGGTGACTGCTGGATGAACATCAAGGTGAGTCCAATGAGGAGTGCCCGTTGGGATGTGAGCATATCACCACAACTGACTTTGCCCGAGGCTTGCCTCACCTCAGCTCCGCTCTGACGGGCGCAAGTCTGCTGACAGCAAGTTGGACTCGGGGAGCCAATGCCAATCGGACTGTCCCAACCTCCCGAAGACAGCCTGATTCGGAAACCATGGATTATTCGGACACCAAAAGTTTTTTTTTTCGGAAACCAAAAACTATGCTTCGGAAACCAAGGCTTCTTCGGAAACCAAAAAGTCTAGATAGGAAACCAAAACATGCCCACTGTCCCTGTCACTGCTACGTTCTTTCTTTATATCTCCCAACGGCTACCATCTTAAGTTTCGTGCTTTGACAGCGCTGCCTTCTTCTTAAAATGCTTCTGTTCAGCTATTGCAAGGATTTGGTCTCTTGTGAAGTTCAAGATGCAGCATAGTGGTCATAGGGGGTGGCTGGGGTTTAGACCTCTTGTTAAGTTCAACATGCAACATAGTGGTCAAAGCGGGTGGCGGGGTTTAGATCTCTTGTGAAATTGCAACATAGTGATAACATAGTGGTCAGAGGGGGTGGTGGGGTTTAGATCTCTTGTGAAGTTCAAGATGCAACATAATGGTCGGAGGAGGTGGCGGGGTTTTCATCTCTTGTTAAGTTCAAGATGCAACGTAGTGGTCAGAGATGGTCAGAGGGGGTGGCGGGGTTTTGATCCCTTGGCGTTTCGGTTTCTGAATCGTACATTTTGGTTTCTGAATCGTGTTTTTTTTTGGTTTCTGAAGCGGGCGACGATCTATGCCAACTAGCCCAAAAACCAGCAAGTGATGGATGCACAGCTTGTCACGAAGCGGTGGACAAATGTGACCATGATTCCCGGCCTGAACATGTAAAATGTGGACCTTTCAGTTGGACTTTGATCTCAACATGATCTCCCTGCCATGATCTCCCATTAATTTTTCCAACATATTTCAATATTTTTTTCACATTTGTCCTACCACTAAGTGTGGTAATTAATGGTAATCCAATGTGGGCACGACTTTGATTTCAACATCTCAGTTTGGATATGGCAGTGTGTCAAAACCTTGTACCCCTGTAGTTCACATCAAAATAGCTGGTAAATGGATGTTCATCCCACTAAAAATGGTATTAATAGGTATTGATCCATAGCCATATCTCAACTGAGAGGCCACGGCGTGAATTTCTTCGAGCTCATCGGGGATGTGCCGTGCACCTCCCCGCAGCCGCGCTAAGGCGCTGCGTGCCGCTTCAGGGCGCTGTTTCCAGGCCAGCCACCGGGGCGATTCCTTGACGAAGACAACAGTTAGCATCCACTGATCATACTGTTGATGATGTTGATGATATCATTTCCGATTTGTTCCATTTACTTGAAAAAAATCTTGAAAAATATCTTTCATATACCAGTAGTGCCGCACAAGGCGGTGGCGGAAGTTTCAAAAATAGGAAACCTACAGGAGAGGTTGGTTGTTGTGA